ATTCCCACATGGCATTTACATCCTATGGACTACCTGAAGGCGAAGGTCACATTTAAATGATACTCTTCTTTGTACAAATATTTAACTTAATGTTTTGCAGTATGAGGACAGAAGCTGACCCTTACTCCCAATTAAAAGTAGCAATCGAGTTGTGAAAAGAGCATTTTCACAACTGTTTTTTCTGCAAACTTCTGAATACTTTTTCCTTGACTGGGTTTGAATGTAATACCAAAGGGAAAAGAGCAACAACTAACTCTAGACTTATTCTCTTAATCTGCAGATTTAATTTTATAAATGAGCAACATAAAGTGCTACCGACATACATTAAAGAAATACCACCTGCTGCTAACTGCTTTAATGGAAAATCTGTCTAGCACTTTCTTTAATGATTATATGTCTTAAAAATTCAACAAATGAAAGGATTATCACCAAAATCATATTAATCTGAAAAGGATTAACAGCCTACAGTTGAAAGACTTCATGAACTGCAGTAGGAGAGGAAGGATCTGAAATAAAAATGCAAAGAGCTTTTCACATAAATAGTGCAGAAAGACTGTTAAAGGTTGAAGCAGCAAAAGTGAAAATGGACTGTAATGAAGAATGGGGATGTGAATCAAACACATCAGTGGTGAAAATAAAAGAAAATCACAGAAAACATTCTGTAAACTCTAACATCCTTAACACCTGTATATGCATTTTTCTTTGCAGGTTTCTGTGACTGGCTGCACTCTCATTATCATTGGTAATTTTGGACTAATTCAGATACATTATTTTAAATGTATTGTTTAAAGAATGAAAATTTTATTGAGCATTCTGAACTTAATGAAATGCTGAGAATGAACCCTTGGCTTCCTATGGATACAGATCTTTTGAGGGTTAGAAGGACCTCCCACAGTCTGCAAAATACTTTATCTTCAACAATACAGTTTAGCTTCTAGAATTTCAACACCCAAAAAGAGTGTTTTATTTTTTTCTGTAATACCTTCCCTGCCTGTAGGACATTAATGGATTCATGGCCAGGCATTTCTTGTTATTTAATGGCCAACAGAGTTCATTTCATCAAACCTCATTCAGTAGTTATCCATATTCATGAAAACACTTAAGGATGTGTTTGATTTTAGCTTTAGTAGGATTTAAGGATATGTTTAAAGCTTGGCACATACTTAAAATGCTATGCTGAATTTGGATGGAAGCAATCTCATGCTTACCTGAGCTAAAGTTAAAATTAAGCGGATGCTTAAGTATTTTGCTGAATACAGATGGAGTGCTGAACTGCGTCCCAGTGATTACTCATAAGTGTCAGTATGCTCTCAATCCAGAAATTATCACTTTACAAATAAAATCAGAAGATATGCATATACATAATCAATGTATGGATGAGTAGAATTTTGATGACCAGCTAATTACAATTCATGCAGACATAAATTAATAAGAAGATGAAACACTGCTCGAACTCAAACATACGTCCCAAATTATTAACTTGGGTTGAGCACAGAAGATAAAAATAGGACAATAAAACAAAATGTAAGCATAAGGACAAGCCATAATGACAAACACAATGACAGCTTTTGCTTCCAGTTGAAGACACCTATCTAAACGTCTGTGGGACCAGTGTGGTTGGTCTTATACTAAAACTTGCCTGGTTTCCTAATGCTGGAATTATGTTAAGGGGAGGTTATATGAACATCAAACAAACAAAAGCCAGAATCACGATTCTGAGGTTTTGCAGTTTAATGACATTGTGAATCTAAGGGTTCTACTTGGAAATGGTCTAAATATATGACTGCAACCAACTTATGCTTTCTAATTCCTCTGTCAGTTTTCAATATTAATTACCAAAAGAAAAACATTGAAAAATAAGTTTGAAAACAACTACTTCAGTTTCATCTGTACCTCATATTCCTCCTTTCTGACTTAGCATTTGATGCAGGGCTTTACTTTTAGTTGGCTTGGAAGAACACTGTAGTCTGGAAAGACAGAAAAAAAGACCTTGTAAATTAGATAAGTAAAATCTTAGCTCATGTGTGCCACATATTTCAAGAACTCTACATATATTTTGAAAGGTTCCAAACTTAGACAGGACTAAAAAAGTTCAGATAAATAAATCTACCTAATCAGTAACCACAAATGCTGGGGATGAATATAGCCATGCTTTGCTTTAAACTTCAGTGTACAGGTTCAAAAAAAGGGAAATATTGCTTTCACATTTCCATCTTCTCAATGACTACTCTCTGTCTTGCTACCGAATAATTCTAACAGATGAGGGTTTTGCTGTGATGTATTTTTCATCTAGCTTCATTTTAAGAAGGACACATCATCTATTTTTAAAAAATGGGTAAAAAAAAATCCCAACAAAATAACCCAATACATAATTGAAGCATGTCCTTGTCATTTTAATTCCTGTGTTCCCAAAACACAGCTCTAAATAGAGCATCTTAAAAAATGGATATCTGATGTCCTGATCCATTACATCTGTTACCATCGATGGATGGTAAAATGGTATTCAAGATCTGTTATCATTAAATGTTTTCCTGCCTGATTATTGCCATCTTATCTAGCCTGTTTTATGACAGAAACTATCCCACACCTCTCGCAATTCCATACACTACCCCATAGATTTCTTTTCTTTTTAGGACAGCATGACTGGCACATTGTATTTTGTCACTAACTTGTGACTGTAGCATGGACACACCACCTAGAAGGATACAGACACAGTAATGTTTTCTGTTCAGACTAAATTCTTTTCCTTTCCATACCCAACCTCCTACTGTGTTTTGTACTCCTTAGGGTTAGAGGTTTCATACAATTAAATGGCAATTTTAAGCTTGTGCCTGTGTGAAAATGCCAAAATCAGGGCTCATTCAGGTGTGCATATATAGAGCAATTCTCTCCACCAAACCTTTTCATTACTTTTCAAATTACCAGCATGTTTTGATGAACAAATCCTGTTTTAAAATGTCATATGTGGTACATGCTAGACTAACGTAGGCAACTACCTTACAACTACAACTAAAATATTCTTTCAGGCATTCCATTTAGCAAGTTCACCCACTGAGTTTGAACTCTAGAGGCTGATTATCATTTTTTTAATCAAATAATGCAGGTTTTAAAGGCTGCAAAGTCAGTGCCCTGGCATGTATTGCAGGTTTCCAGCAGGGATGCATGAGTTGCTCAACAGTTAAACATTTTTCTTATGAAGGCAAGCATGCAATTCAAGCAACTGCTATTGCAAATAGAAAACCTGGCTCTCCACAACCTTGTATATTTTAGGATCACCACTGTTATCTGGTGGGAGAGTTAAAATCCATGCAGATGCTCAGGAATAGCCCTATTTAGTACCTCATTTTATAGGTGTATAATTCTTGGGTCATTTATTTAGTAAGTTCTGTGTCACCACTGAGTAATCCTGCCCAATTTAGTTGGCTTTTATATTAGCTAGCTGTATACTGGGTTTTGCATCTGGTTGTAATCTAGGGACTGGCATTCTGATATTGCTCCTCCCAGAACTAGAGTGGCTAAAGCCTATCATTTTATCAACCTCATTCATCTACTTTGAAACCCTGTCAGCCATCTAAGGTATATGCTGGAAGATTATCTACATTTTAGTTCATGTAGTCTAAAGACAAGACAATGACTAGTAAAGTCACCCTCCATAATTTAATATGAAATGAAATTATGCTTTTTGTGCAATTGAGATGTGACTAGTTATTTAATGAAGAGTCTGGATGTTAACACCATCTGTCTGAGGGAAAAAACATGAGAGAAGAGTGGACATAGAGGTGCAGTAGGCAGAGTATCTGCATAAAAACCTCAAGAGCCATTCTCCAAAAATTTCTTTCTGGGCAAAGATCCAGCACTACAGTAAGTGACTTTTCCATGTCTGGGCTTAAATGTATGAATTCAGGAAAGGATAGACACATGAAGTAACAGAGAGAGTTACTGAGTATTTTAGCAATTCACCTGAAATTTCCCAAATCCTATGAAGACATTGTCTGAGTCAGTCTTATATCCTCCAACTGTGCATATCAGTATGATTCTGGTTATGAGCTGATAATAGAAACTAAAATCTTGCTATGCAGTGATCAGCATGGGCCAGATCTCTGAAGATCTCTGACATTCATGACTCAAGTTTCAAACACATAAAAATGTTAGTAATTTCAAAAACTATCCTTTTGAGATGACAAACCATTGATCAGCAGATCGCCATACATGACTTAATAAAGCTGAGTGGAAACTAATTTTCACCTTATTTTCTTAAGTATTCTTTCTTTATTTAAATACAGTATGTTGCACCTTGCTTTCAAAATTTGACCATGTAACTTGAAGTATGTCCCCCTTTAAAAATAAGGAAAGTCATATCATCAACCCCTGATAAGTGGGAGTTGAGAAATACATGCAAAGGTTTTTTACAACTTGCACTGCCAGGTGAACTGATACTCTGCTGTAGCAAAGGAGTCAAATGGCTTTATCTTCTCAGAATCTTCCATGTAAAGCAGTGAAGTAAAGCATGTGTTTAACCTGGAATTGGCTGCTCCAACTTTACACCAGGATGAGCCACTTGCCAATTGAGTTCAGTCTCCTGCCTCCCACTTGCAAAAGGAGTTTAATTGGCTCTAACAGCAATCTGCACACTGATAAAGTTGTTGAGAGAAACCAAAAAAAACACAACAAACTAATGAACAAACAAAAACCAGCAACAAACACATCTAGCTGAAGACCTCATACAGTGTATTTCTTCCACAGTCCTCTATTTGTGCTGGTCGACCACCAATCCAGTGTGTAGTGACTCTTCAAATAGCCATTCCTCCCTCTATATTTCCAATTTTTATTCCTGGCCATCCAAAAGTTCTCAATTCCTTTCCTTTGCTTCCCAAACCGTCTTTTAAGTCTCCACTATGTGTTCCAATGGATTGGATATGCTTTCCACATCCAAGGCCACCTCCCCCTTTCAAATTCCCAGCTTAATTATGCTGGAGACAAGGGTGGCCTACAATAAAGACCTTGCTTCCACTTCACAGGCCACCTGTTATCTTCCTTGCCAACCTGCCAACTCCTCTGCTGTTTCCTAGTCCTGCTGCTCACCAGCCCACTGTGCCATCTGCACAGCAGGAATTCAGAGATAAACTTACCAAGTGTTAGAAGTCTTAGCTTTGTCTCCAAGCCAGTGCTGCTTTGTGAGCAGAATAATTATTCTGGAATAAAAGTAAGTTTCATTTAAGTATAATGTCTGCATGGAAAACTACTCCAGAACTAGGTATAGCAAACTAATTTATTCTATTCTAGCTCTGCTATTTTGCTTCCTCTTTTCTACAGGGCCCGAAACTGCTTTAAATTTTCCTAATCATACAAGCTGTATATGGATATAACAATTACATTAACCTACAAAAAAGAATTAGAAAATTCCTCAAAGTGGAATTAAAAAAATTGCAGCAGTTTCAGAGAGTAATATTTGAAACATTTCTGAAACTGAGGAGAAGCTGAAATGCAGAAATCTGATTACTCAGAAGACTATTAAATGGCTTCAGAAGACTCCTTTCCCAAAGGTTATTCAAAACAAAACAAAACAAAACAAAAACCCAAACCAAACAAAAAGAAAAAATAAAAAAAAAGCTACCAACCAGAGTCCAGAAACTGGACTGAGTGTTATATGATAAACTGGAAGAGGTTACTAGTTTTCAACTTGGGAAAAAAGTTCCATCTATTATGGTTAGCAGCACCTTGCTACAGAAACTAAGGTCCTTAGTTTGTGTGGCAAGGTGCCACTGGCGCATTATTGGTCCCAGTGTCCCATAATGCTGGATATGGCCTGAATACGTAAAGTATGGAACAATGACCATCCCAGAAAATTCACAGGTGCAGCAAAGATCATGAGAAACAGAAGCACAGAAGACAGACAGATAAAATAATGCAAGAAAACCCTGAAGTGGATTCAATTTACATGACACAAAGCTGTCACAGTACACCAGGAACTTAATGCTTTTTTCTTTAGATCATAGAGTCTGGTAAAGGTTAACCTTAAGAATGAGCATAAAGTGCATTAAAGAGGATGGTCTGGACCATTTACAAAGTGTTTCTCCCAAGTCTACAAGGCAGCACAGGAAAAAAATCACCTGCAATTCCATGCTGGAATATTGAAACTGTCATCATTCATCAATGGGAAGAATAGAAGTTGATCATTCTATTCTGAATCAGAGATGATAGAGGGAAAAATATTTTGTATTTTGTTCAATTCAGATTATTGTGGTATTCTGTCTAAACTGGTGAATTTGAACTATGCAAGCACTTTGCATGATAAACAGTAGAACTCTTTATCAGCCTTGAATGATGATGCAGAAGTGGGTAATTCACAGCTAGCTTTGAAAGGGCTTTTGATTTAAATAATGATCTCCTGTTTTAGGTCAAGTGTAAAAACCTACTAAAGTGCAAATCACAAGCAACAAGACTATCTTATCTCTTAAAACACCACAGATATATTCTATCTCATCCCAAAGAAAATAAATCAATAATTCAAAATAATGGTATTCTGGCAATGAAACTCCTTGCCTATAACATATTCCTCCTGTCTTTTGGGGAAAGATTTTATGAAGCCTATTTTAAAGTTTAATGAACCATTCTCATGTTTTTGTTTCTCCTAATTTTACAGGAAATATATGAAAGTCATTCTGAAACAAGAATACCCCTTGTGTGCAGATGCAAGGAAAGCTACAGGCATCTTCTGAGCACACTCACTGTTTTATCCAAGTTGCATTATCTCTGTTACCTTTTCTCATTAAATAAAGTGCAATCAGACATGGAAATACTCAGCAAGATTATTTTCTTTCACATGAAGCATCCAGTAACAAAGATGTCTTTGTGCATGCCATGACTTCTACTTCCCACTTCTTGTCTGCATTTTAATCCAGGTTACCTATTCTTCCTAGAAGTTCAGACTTTATTTTTGGCTTTAATAACATAAAAATGCCGTGATGCAAGCACAAAGGTTGTGTAACTTACCTACCATTGAACATGGGTACTGTAAATAGCTGAACTGGAGTTGAAAATAATTAAAAGAATGTGCACTGGTTCAGTTGTGAAAACAACGTAACTGCAGTGGCAACACAGGCTCATCATCAAAGCCTCACTAGAGCAGGTATTTAACTAAAAAAAAAAAAAAAAAAAAAAAAAAAAAAAAAAAAAAAGTATCGCCATGTCTCTGGACAATGTGTATTTTACAGACTCACTCATAACTTCACATGGAACTCCAAGATTTTGAAGTTCAGCTTCGGTTTGCTGCAGACCAAAACCAAGGGATTCTACAATTGTGGAACTGAAATGGAATAAAGTGCCTTGAATGGATAAGGAAAGAGATTTCAACCTCACTTTTTCAATATCCTAAACAACATTCCCCTGCATGCTTGGTTTCCTGAGAGGTTTTGAATTTCTGTTTTTCTCCTCTAGTCCCTACAGCAGATACTCTCCTAAGCCTGAGAAATTATTTTTGACAAAAATGTCATTGAAATTCATTTCGGGGGGAGGGGGGAATACATTTCAGCTGTAGAGCTTCAGGATTTGCCTAAAGTCAGCATCTATTTCTCAGTCATTTGTTCCCTGTTGAGGAAGTGGTGGCTTTTTTGCTAAAAACACTTTTCAAGAAGTACAGCACAGTAAAGTCAGTGCACCCTGTCTTGATGAAATTGTTTGCAGTGCCATAGGAGACACTCCAACTCCTGAAATTCCATAAACTCATCCTTCTCAGCTATGTCTGCCCATGACACTTTGCTCCTTCCATAGAAGTAGCATTGCATGCTTATCTCACATTAATATCAAGAAAAATTAAAAATCAAGAAGCTCTTTTAAGGTCAGGCATTTTGATGCCAGATTAGAAATAACACATCTTAAAGAAATACAAAAAGGAGTTTTGTCTTAGACTTAATGATCAGGTGCCTCTCTAGGCAAGAGAGGCATAACCTAATTTGTCTAGGCTCCCTAGGACTTCCACTGTCAAAGCTAGACAAAGTTAGACATTTACTTTTTGAGAACAAAAAAAAAATTAAACAGAAAATAAAATTTCCAATTTTTTCTTGCAAACCTTTCAGTCTTCACAAGTGTTTTCAATCAGGTTAAAATAAGTTTACAGTTATTTTATTAAATAATAGGATTTATGCAGCTCTAAGGTCAAACAGAAAACTTTTAGTAGGTGAATTACCTCCCCCAGCTTCTTTCTACTTTAAATTACTCTTAACATTTAATCTTACCTCCAAATTTATAATACAGTTTCTAAACCTTTTGTAGAGAATGTGTAAAGATTTGTTAAATTTTTTCTATTGTTTTCTGAAATTTACCTCATTTTAACTTTGAATTTTAGAATTTTTAATCTCTGCCCTGTCCAATATTTTTCATAAAATACTTCTTAAAATTGCTATAAAAGTAGGAAAATACATAATTTATCCAAATTATTTCACATTCCTTATTTGAATTCTTCTGATTCTCTCCCCCATCCCAGCATGGAGAGTGAGTGAGCTGCTGGCTGGAGTTAAACCACAGCACTGAGCCATAGGTGCCTGTTTAAATGTCCTTTATTAGCAGCTCAGCCAGTACTTTTTTTTTGCAGCTTAATCCAAGTAAATTTTGTCAAGGCCTTGGACTGTAAACAAACCACCCTGCTGCTGCCATGTGCTTTTGGAATGCTGTGGCCCAGACTGCACAATATTTCTGATGAGGCTGCATTGGTTATTTATTAAGAAGTTTCATCAATTCTTTCTGCATTTCTATATTATACTTTCTCTTTTCTGTTCACAATATTTATATTTAATAGCACATGAGAGCTCAGCCTTCTACCCAAGCTCAAAAAAAAAAATCTGTCAAATATTTACTAATGTTAAAAGATGAAAAGTGCTAGGGAAAAATGACCATGTAACGAATTTTGTGATAAAATACTTAAGGCTCAGGCCATGCTCATCAATTTTCCTACTGTCAGATGCCTTCTGCAACCTCTGCCAGTGTAGGATTTTGCTTCATTGACTGCTAGATTCAACATTCTCTCTAATGTAACATAATGGTAATTCCTGCAGGGAACTGATGAGAGTCTCATGGCTGCTAGCAGGAGAGATGAGCTCCCTAACCACTAAGTTACTTAGGACCAAATTTCTTCCTAGAATATACTTGGGGAAAATGAACAAACAAACAAAGCACATCACAGAAAATTCTGCTCTATATTTCATAAAGCAGTCACACCATACCATTAGGAATCATCGAGATAAATAGTATTAAGCATCTACATGTGAGAAAGAATAGGATTTAAAGATATTTCTGTCTATTGCACTTTTAAATTTGTTTGATTAAGCACATTTCTGTTTAGTGGGAGGGATTGTACAACTTCTAACTCTGTGAATGCCTAACTCATGGAATCCACTGAAAAATTCACTTACCTAAATCACTTGTAAAAACCTTGAACATTTCAGACGTAATTCAGAATGTTGGCTATTGCCTGTATAGATATTAATCCCTCCTCTAAAATGAGAAATTGTATTTGAAAAATATGTGAGATACTCAGGTATGAAACATAAAACAGTAGCAATCTACTGATCAAAAGTAATATCTTAATGTAGAGACATTCAGAATTCCCAGTATACAGGGCTCTCTGCTCCAACTGCATATTCCCACAGCTTGGCAAGAAGCCTTTCCACTATACACAACACTGCTTACCTTGCAGCCTGAGAAGTTAATAAATGCCAGCAATATCAAATATAGATGGATGGGGGAAAAAAAATATTTATAAACCTTTGAAATTCCAGGGGCCAGTGAATCAGAATCAAATTTTTTAAATAACCAAATTAATTCTTAATACCTTTCCAAGTTTTCTGATTCTTACTGGACTTTTTAAGTCCCAAATTAAGTTCCCTTCTGAACTGCCATTGTGTTCCATTTCTATGTCAAGCTTTTTCATCTAGCTTTTTCCCATCTGCAGGGTCAGCCTGGTTGCTTTTAAACTTTTAAAGGCAAAGGCTGTTGCAGGAATCCCTCAAAGATACACCAACATTATCTGATAAATCAGTGAGAAAAGCCAGAGTTTAAACCAAGCTTATCACAGAAGCCTCTTTACCAGTTATCATTGAAGTCCAAAAAATTAATGCATTGAGGGAAGATAAGCTGATGAAGATTCACAGCTAGCTTATGGCTTTTTTTAAATAGGACATTCATTTTAATCTATAGT